GGTCATGACAAGGTGCACATGACGAACGGCAATCGGCTGCTTCGACACTGCTTAAACTATATTTTTTTATGCTCAAGTCTGCAGCTTTCTACTGTCATTTTGACTTATAGCTTTCGCACGAAACGGGGCTGCAGGCAGAATTGCATTGCCGAAGGCTCGATCTCAACTTCCTTTCAACCCCGCATCTGTCGGGGTAGCGAGCTTCCAGGATAGCAGATCACTCCCGACTCGGCTGAATCGGTACGAGCTGCCAAGTACTTGCCGAAATCACGAAGCTGCACATGGAGAGTGTCCCTGTCCTTCTGGGACTTGATCCAAGTACAGTAAGAACTCTTGTCCTTAGCAGGATCATCGGCCATTTCTGCATAGGTGAGATCAGCTTTTCCGAACTTGCCATACTGAAGCACGGTCTTTCCCCACTCAGTGAGAGAGGAGATGCCAGGTGGGAAGCGATCATCAGGCTGCTTTCCTCCAGCGTGTGGAGCAATGGGGCGTTGCTTCAAACATGGAGCTTCCGATGAACTGACCTCATCGGATCGTCTTTTTGAAGCATCAGTCATGCTTCCTTGGGGCTTCGAGGAAGGAGAGAGCAACTCGAACTCTGAGAGATCTTCACCACTCTCATCGTGCAAGGCGGCAATCAGCAACTCCATAGTGCCATCTTTCCTGATGGCATCGAGCAAAGAGCGGACTTTCTTCATCTGCTCTTCAGATGGGCCAGACATGTTTCTGGCTATGACAAAAGCAAAAGGTGGGTGTCACCTCGAACTCCAAAAATGCAGCTTGAGCCACGGACACATGGATTGCCCCATCAATCACATTCACGTCACTCCCCGGCATGTACCTGCGGACAGGTACTCTCACAGCTAACTAACTTAATTAGGGACCTGTGATGACCGTTTCTGGATTCTACGGTCGCGTTCAAGAGCCTGATATTTCAGCACCGTGTCTTCGGGACTAATCTGGTAAGAGGCTCTTTTGATACAAGCACGCATTAAATCTATGGGACCACCACTATCCTTAGTCAACCCATCGGCGAGCATCCGGTCGGTCGGAACCCATCGAACGTGAGCTTGCATCAAGCGAACGCTTTCTCGGATGATAACCACATCTATACTGGTTCTTCTATCCTCTATGGACGTAGGTGAAGAAGGCGAATGCAAATGATCATATAAACTCTTGCAATCCGTGATCAGAATTGGAGGCCTATTTTTCAACCTTAGGCGGCAATCACGAACCAGCAAAGGTCCATCCAATATCTCGGACAAAAGCAGTGCGAGCCATTCCACAGTTCCTGATGCTGTGGACATTGCCTGGCTTTCAGCAGCCAGTGTGCTACTCACTGCCCGAGACATTTTGTAACTTTTCCAACAGGCGGGAGTCCATTCCGCTTCCATGCCTTCTTGCAAACTTTTACGAGTGAAAGCAATGATGTAACCAGCTTGAGTGTGTGACCCAACATTTGCGAAGGCGGAATCGGAGTGACACACCAGGGTGAGTTCTTTGGGATCAATGCTTTTGAAAATGATCCCCATTTGACTTTCTTGTCGAGCATGACGGATGGCATGATTGGCATTTCTAAAGTCCTTAATCGTTGGGTGAGGGAAGGATTGCTGGCTCAAACTGGTCTGAACACTCAAGTCGGGCCTTGATTGTGATGACAACCAGTTCAAACTTCCGTTGACGGCTCGAAGCACCTTCACCTGACCGGAGTTCAACTGTTCCTCTGGATTGCTACCTCTAGGGACATTGATGGACCTAATCTTTTCTGCAAACGCTTGCATGCTCATGGTTATGGTTTTATCAGGATCTTGTTTGTACCACGCACCACAGAATTCACCCTCGTTGATTCGCCACTTTCTGTACGGAAACCGCTTTCGGAGTCTTCGCAATGCCTCCTGAAAGACTTCACTTTGTTCATTTCCTCCTAGAGCTGTGTCGTCAACATGCACACCCATCACAGCAGTCAAAGAGGAGGACTGTGGATCTCTCAAGGTAAACAAGCAGGGGTCCAGTTTGCTTTGGGTCCAACCACTGGTCAAAACAAAGGATGTAAACTCTTTGAACCATGCGGCAGGAGCGTCGTTCTGTCCGTAGACGTTTCCGGTCACTTCTATCACAGCGTCACTAGGTACCCCAGGTATACCACCTGCTGGTTGGTGTGCAAAGAGAGGACGGAATTTCTCATCTATTGGACCGGCTTCGAGGAAGGCGCCACGAATATCCCCGAGTTGCAAGTTCCACTTCATTGAACTGATGATTTGCATTAGGGTCATCCTACCTAGTTGACTTAATGTCGGGGACTTCAACATGCCTTGCTCGGCCTTGAGAGTCAAGTCCGGGTCCAGGTGGCCTTGTAAACACCACCTACCTTTGACCAGGAATGAAGACCAGTCGTTTGGATCGACATGACCCCCTTCTTCCAACGGCTTGCGAGTCAGCGCAAAACGACTTCCTATGAAGCGATCGGCGTGATCTTTCTTGATCTGAGCTGCCCTTCTACCGAAATGCAAACGAACGGCATTATCCTTGTTGACAATGGTGTTCCATTCATTTCGTTTGCCTTCATCGATCTTGGCTTGCAGTTCGGGGGGATTGTTGCTATGACGAAGTTCCTTTTTCATTTTCTTCTTGAGATACTCGGACATGAACACTTCAAAGGGAGCTTCATCCATGAGCTTACTTAGATCAGAACATTCTTCGACCGACAGTGCTTCACTCAGTCGTGGTCTCGACGGTGCTGGCTCTCCTGCCTCGGCAGAATCCATTTCAGATCTTGCTCGCTTGTGTTCTTCATGAGCCGGTGAGGTGGATTCAATTGCCTGCTCCACCAACGGTGAAACAAGTTCTTTCATGATCTCCACAAATTCATCCTGCTGAATTGGAGCTGGGCGCCAAAGTGAAAATGGTCCATCTTTGCCAGTGATTCGCCTACGAATAGGTCCATACTGTGAATCATGCGGACTTGGGAGACTCTCTTTCTTGTCTTTGACGAGGTCTTCGGGGTTTTCAGACGACTCTGGATTGTCTTTCTGATTTGAGACTTCACTTTCATGTGGCACTCGAGTTCCCAGTTCCATGAGCACGGATTGACCAGGGTCTTCCACTGCGTCCGGTGCTCGAACAGGATCAGATTCAGGCTGGCCAGAGTCGGTCTCTGGCATTGGGGTCTCTCCCGCTTCAGGGGGATATGATTGGGCAACCAAGTCCAAGAATTGCTGGCTACGGATATTCCCTTGATCGATCATATCCTTGATGCCTAACAATTCGGCCTGAGGAGTGCCAAGAGTGATCTTTTCTTCTGTTGTGGCCGCACGAACCTGTTCTGGAGCACAACGGATCACCTGACGGCGATGCATCAACACATAATTACGACCCACTTTACCCAGGACAATTGCAGTACCCCACCATTTACCTCCAGCATGAAGACTACCTTGTACCCATTTTTGATTTCTCCAGTAGGCTACCATATCACCTGGAACGAACTCGGTGGACGTGCGAGGTCTTGCTAACAAAGACACTCGGAGGGCACGATCGTCCTGCATTTGAATTAGGGCCGATCTGGCTGTGGTGCGCATGGCTTGTGCACGAGCTATGGCATCGTCGGTCAGTGGACTCGTAGCCGGAATGATCTGCAATGGTTCGCTCATCAAGTCTTCTGGGATGTTGGGATTCTTTCCAAACATGAATTGATGAGGTGAAAATCCGTGAACTTGGAGCATTTGATTCTTGATGTGAGCATGACTGACACATTGAAGCCATTCCTCTTTGTTTGCCGGCTGGTGTTCAGCTATCAGCTTATCTAGCACTCTAGCGAACCATCCTCCATGGGACTCGACTTTACCGAGTTGCCAGTGAGCTCCTGCTGCGATTGGTCGGACAACCGTTCCTTGTAACTCCTGGGACCAGTCATATTTTCACCCAAGTTGGTTCGAGCTGGATCAAGAATGAGTTCTCGTGGAGGGCCCAACCATGACACCCAATTGT